GTGTGTGTGTGTGCACACAACAAGATCGTCTGAAGCTTCAAAGACCTTTTTTAATCTCCTCTCTGTTTGCGCTCTCTTCGAGCTGCTGGGTTTGTTTTGGCGTCTGCAGCTCCGTGCCTTGTCATTGTGGATCAGCTGTAACCGTTCATCAGCGTCCGAATGACCCCCGTTTCTGTTCATCGGTGGATTTATTGCTCTTTAATGCCTCTCTGCGTGAGGGCTGTTGGCCAACGCTGCAGTAAAGTTTCACAAAGTTTCACGTTGCTGCCAGGAAACTATGGCTTCACCGTCGGTGCAAGATATCAAATAAAGTAGCCAAAAAAAAAAAGATTTATCAATTTTAATATTTCAGCCCGAACTCACGAAGATTTGTTTTCGTGAAGAGCTGAAAAATAAAACCGATAGTGGCATAAAATCCACATTGTTCTCTGGTTCATGTGTCAGAGCAGCTGTGTGAATCCTGATCGTTCCTCCCGTGTGTCTGTAGATGAAGTGGACCTCCTGTCCGAGGACTACGAGGCCGTCGACCATCGGCTCAAGCTTTTCCTGGATGTGGAGGTTTTTGAGGAGGAGGAGGAGGAGCTTCACTCTTTCCTCAAGGTGTGTAAGAGTTGAACGAAGGTAACGCACAACACACGACCCGATCGCAATAAAACGCTGATTTAGAAAACAGATTCTCTCAGGGTTTAAAAATATCCCACGGAGCTGATAATATACTCGAGCTCGTCACGGCAGCCTGGGAGGGATCGAGTGATGATCAAATTTAGCCGTACAGCGGTTTCTCACGTGGCTGTTATTGTTTCTTGTGGGACTGCGGTTTGTCAAACTCGTCTAACGTGTCTCCCCGATGCCCAAAAAGATTCCAGATTAATGGGTGGTGACAACTTTAAGACCTACAGCACTTCCCTCTGCGGTTTCATCGCAGTCGGCCAAGATGAGCACAGTCAGTAAATCCCCCAGGAGCCCATTGGACCCCGCTCTACTTCTGCCCCGCTGTCACTCAACGCTCTCGCAGACCTCTTTAATATGCATTACGTCCTGGGAGCTCTTCAGAGCAGCGGGGATGTTGCTTTTCTCTGTCGGACACCTGGACGAGGAGCAAAGAGCGGAAGAGGACGGAGCTTCACCGCAGCTGGGAAGAGGAGATGCCGCTCAGCTTTGTTTATTTATCCAGTGACGGAGGCCGCTCGCTGTTTCACTCGTGCTGTTGTTCCAGAGGAAATGAAGCAAGATGCCGCTCCACATGTCTGAATTTTAAACCTGCACTGAGCCTGTGAACCTCAGACCAACTGGAGCAGATAGTTCAACTTGACTTCATGGCTCCATTGTGAACTTTCTCGTGTTGTAACAGGATCAAGAGTTCTTCATTCTGATTCATAAAGAAAATGTTGATCTGTGTGTTGATCTGTGTGCGGTCAGATGTCAGCTGTCAGATTCGGGGAGCCGGGGGAGGTTCCTTCTCTGCTGGTGGTGACAAACCTGAGAATCTATTTCCTGGAGATGACGTCAGAGATGCAGTAAGTAAAGTACAAGATCCAGACATTTATTTGCTGTTTTGTAAAATCATCTCCAGCGAAACAGACGTCAGAACAAATGGGCATTTGATTTAAACCCTTCATGTTCTCCTAATACTCTGTCGTATATTTTAAGTTGTAAGGTGAATAATATTGAATTGTCCTGCAGCGATAGAAGACCTGGGAGCAGAGTGTCAGATTTAAAACCAGATATTATAACACCAGATAAACCAGAGAGAGTTTTTCATTCTCTCTATACAGTCAGTGAGAAAAATAATTAAATGTTAAAGGCACCACTCTGCAGTTCTGATGACAGTAATGATAATAACATCTCACAACCTGTCCAGGTTTCTGGGTCACATCTTGAAAACACATTGACCTCAAAGTGTCTGTTGACTCTAGAGTCTTTTTCTTTCTCCTGCCAGTTTCAGCCCCTGTGTTGTTTTTCTTTTTCTTCTTCCTTCACGTGAATGAACACTTTTATTTCCTCCAGGTCTGGAGAACACGCTGTGACACCTCTGACACCAAACCTTTCTTATCTTTTTTATCTAAAACAGTCACGACGTGACTCATGACCACAGTCCTGAATAAATGTTAAACACATTTTAAAGTCACACCTCCAAGTGTCCCTTTAATCCACCTCACTGCGACGGGACATTTTCTAACGGCCCACGTCTTTCCTCCCAGCAGAGGCCAGCTCTCCGATTGGCTCCAGAAGCGCGACAGCCACCCAATCATGGAGCTCAGCTACCTGGAGGTGGGGCTGGGCTCTCAGACCATCCACATGGAGTTCGGAGACGGGGGCGCAGCGTACACCCTCCTGGTCCGGGACAGTCTGCGCTGCAAACGCTTCTTTGGCTTGTTGACAGGTAAAGGAAACGCTGCCAAATAGGAGCAAAGTGGAAAATGGTTTGTGTTAATGTACGGAAAAACACATAAAAGAGGTTTTTACATTGTGACTGTAGTCTGGGGGGGGGG